CATACTATCAAGAAACAGAAAAACAAAAGATAACAAAAAGCTATTCATTTATATATTTGTTGAGCTGAAATACAGCACAGAGAGACATATATATTTTAAACTGAAAACAAACATTTGTCTGAGAGAAGAGCATGAACTTGGAAATTTAAAAGGACAGAAAGCATGGAAAAATCAAAAACAAAATAAAGACTTAATCCTCATGAAGGATGATGTTCTAAAACATCCATAACAACACCCATGGTTCCTCAAGTAAATCTCTCTCTATTCAGTAAAGGGCTTGCTTAAAGAAATTAGGCCAGATTTTAAAGGTTAATGATGGTATAAGAATAATGTGGGTTCCTCTAGGTTAAAAAGATTGAAAATCTAGACAAGAATTTGTTCTTTAGACATAGGACAATATTTGCTAAGAGCTCCAGTAGTCTGCAATATTAACAGAGGCACGAGTAATTTAGATGCATCTGAAAATTTTTATCCCTATCGTTGTGAATGAGCAGATTTCGTCCACTTGTTAAAATGTCAAGTGGGTTTCCCTCTACGAGCAGTGGAGAAAGAAAGACATCTTCAGGGATGATTCAAAGTCTAGAGAAACACCTCCAGGCTACATAGGATTCTGTTGACTGCAAGAAAGAACCTGTATGTCTGGCAATACTAAATGCTGAGGTTTCACATGGCTAATGTTAGGTGACATGATGCTTTTCCTGATTACCTACACCATTTATACAGAAAGGAGCAAGGCTGAAATCAGTCTAGAAGCATCTTATTTGCTTGCTTACTTAATTAATTCAAGAATCTTTAAATCATTTGACCAGAGTGAATCATCTTCCTCATGTAGCCTAGACATTTTGTATCCCTGTCATCATGTAGAAAGATAAAAGCACACTCAATTTAATAATACTGCTAAATAGCCTTGCCATTTTGAGATTTGTATTTAAGATGAAAAGATTGCAGATCCAAACACTGACTGCTGCTGTGCACAAATATGTACCTTAGAGGTGACATACAATACAGCTGCCAGCTTGTACAGCTGGTGTTAGACAGCCACAGGAGTCTGGTTACACAGCTCGCATCACACTCTAATTCTTGCTGCACAAAACCTCTTGAATGAACCGTGGAAATCAGTGTAATCAGCTCTATGTGCATGTAAAGGCTGTCAGTAATAAGCATGGACTTCAGTTCGTCTTCAGCATTTTACAGAGAGATTAAAAGACAGTGACAACATTTTTTTTGAAGTCTTTGTAGGATCAGGCAAGCTGTTTTCCATCATCTTCTATTTTGGAGGAAGAAGACTAGTGTTGGAGAGCTATCATTCTCCAGCGCTTCACTGTTTATCTCAGGAACCTTCTACATATTAAACATATCCCAAGGATTTGCCTGGTACAAGGCATGTGATTAAGGAATAATAAAGTCCAATATTCAAGAGGATAAGTGAGAACTTTCCAGGAGTTTCAGTTGGCGTATTAAACTTTTGTTTTCACCATTTGTGATCAATGATATATTGGGCAAATTTCCTGACCATTTCTGTAACTACTTAGTTATTTTTCTTTATATTTGCATGGATGTCACAATAGTTCTCCAAGAACTTCTGCCGTCTTCTTGTGACATTGGTTCAGAATCCCTAAAGATGGATGAAGAAAAGGGATGATGACATTTGTTTATTGGAGAGGGAAATTGGGAATTCCTGGAGCAGGAGAGAGAAGATATGTCTGAAGTCATGATGGTATTTGAAACTGTGCAGACATTGTTTCAAGACATTCAACCAATATTGAAGGGTTTTGCACTGTAGCTATGACTAGACCTATCTCAAGCAGATACTCCTGTTGGGCTGCTTAGCTCTAAATAAAGTGGGTGCCATGTCAGTGTGGCACTGGAAGCAGGCACCACTGGTCTGCAGAAATGCAGAAGTTGGACAGGTCTGTTCTAGGTGATTTGAGAGCAAAAATACACAGAAGGAGGAAATGGAAGTAAAACATATTCATAAGGGAGGAGAAAGGGGAGCAGAAGTGGATTTAAAGCAATGGAGGAAACAAGATACACGGCCACAAAGGACCAGTGAATTGTGCTGGAGTTTGGCTACGAGATGAACAGCTCCAAGATCCAAACAAGATGGTGTTTGACAACCCTGAAAACCAGAAAGTAATCCCTTTGGGATTGCATAGCACAGAGAGTTTGGTTATTCCCACCTCCCAACTCCTTAGCAATTCATCTCATAGTTGAGGCTTAAAACATACTAAGGCTGATTTATAATGCTTAACTCCTGCAGTATGGACAGTTTGCTTTTAGAGAAACTTCAGAAAAATCAAAATCCCTATTACAAATGTCATCTGCATTATGTATTTAAAGAAAACTGGAGCACTCTAGTACACAGATCACAAGTAATGCACTTTAATAAAGCAGGGTGCCAAAAAATACTTTCATCCATCTCATTCACTTGATACTGATGAATGTCAGGAAATAATGAAAATCTTCTGGATTTGTGAATGGCATAAAAATTGAATGTCAAATGACATCAGGACTATGGTATGCATTTTCTGGTTTCCAAATGCTAAGATATATTTCATCCTTTATTTACCATGAGATAGGATATTAGTCATTTGAAGAACATATTCTCCATTAGGCAGGCAAATCATACTAACTCTTTGTTTCCCAACACCCTTTTCATGTTATAAATACAAAAAAAAAAAAAAAAAAAAAAAAAAAAAAGGGCCTAAACATTTACCAGATGATTAATATCCTTGAACACTATTCAGTGATACTCATCACTACAGGGAAAGAACAGTTTCAAAAACTTTCATGATACGCATTTTTCAAGGAATCTTGCAAAAAAAGGAGCAACATTACCTTCACTTTATGTATTGCCATGGCCGAATTATCACATTTGCAAATAATCACACAAAATGCACAGGTCAAAGAAAACCAAAGATGTTGTTTTTGCCTTGGAAATAGCACCAACTTGTCTATTTACAGAAGATGCTAACACATATGTTCTGCAAAGGTGAGGTTAATCCATATTGTAAGACATCTATATCTGCTACAGCTGCTCCAAGATCATTCTGTTGCTGATGGAGAGAAATAGGTGGCTTTAAGATGCTACCAACTCATCCAGAAGTCATCTAAAAGTCAGCAAACTGCACCTTTAAAGGTCCATTTCTCACCACTGACAGTAAAATAGAGACTGATTTTAGCCCCAGGTAGCATTTGGTTTCCCAAATACAGGTATTTAGATCCAACCATATTTAGATCCCTAAACAGAGATATCCCTTGGCTGCACGAACTAGATTACTGTTGATATTAATGGGAACCTGAACCTTAAATGGGACTTTAAGGGGAACTTGAACATCTAAATTTGTACTCTAACTGCATTAGAAATGGCAGAAGTTAAGAGCGCTGAATTCCCTTCCTAATGCAGAACAAGCCACTCCATGCTTCCTCATACTGAGGAGAAAAACACATTTTCTAGGTGCCATTCAACAGATCTTTTTAAGTGGTTACTTTAAGGTGAGATGAATGATATCCCACGCCATCACTGAGTAAATGGAGCAACTCTCTGATATCTGGAAACTCTAGATGACAGTCAGATGCAGACAACTACATTTAACCAGATGAAACTTATCCCAAGTGATGTGAATTCCTCCCCTCTTGAAGGCTGCTGACATTGTTGGTTTCAAGGCCAGATTGACATTTATGGAGCTCGCTGCGCAAAGAAAAGCTCAAATGCCTGCAGCCAAGCTACAACACGGACATGCAGAGACTGGGGGTCGTGGGTTGGCTTCTATTTGAGGCTGTTTCCTGATGTGGCACTTTGAAATAAGTGCAGAGAGTGCTCTTAATGCACTTTTCTCAGAACAGGAACCACACATTTTGCCTTAAACACAGGTTTTTTGAGGCCTCCAATGACACATGAGCCTTGAGAGATCTATACCCTTCTGAGAAGGAATCTATAGGCCAAGTGAGATGTCCTACGGCATGTCATAGCAGAACACAGGCCCTTAAGTGGACAACTGTATTAAGTCTCATAAGTCCCTCAAAGTGCAGGTTTAAAGGCATCCTGCTTCCATTAGTTTGTTTAACAGGGCTCCAGTGATAAAATCCTGTGGAGTTTTGGAAACAGGGAGATTACAGCATTAGGATGGGACCCCAGAGATTTGGGGTTTTCCTTTTAGGCTTTGCTAAGAGTTTATGTATGACCTTGAGCAAGCTGTCTCATCCGTGCTTGTAAAACAGTGCTTAGTCTGTAATTCAGGGTCAGTATTGCATCCCTACTCATCCTCCTAATCTGTTTTATGTGTTTGGAGAGCAAGTCTGTAAAAGTGGACACTTGTAAGCTTAATGCATAACCACCACAAAAGAGGCTGCAGGATTACTATAACAGAAACACTAAATAACGACTGTAAACTAGCTAGAGACAAAGAGCCATGTTATTGTTTGCCCTTGAGACCCGAGTTTTAAATTAAAGCTTCTGAGAATTTGCAGACCAGCACATTAACCTGCCTTCTCCATTAGCCTTCCCTGATGGTTATTTGTTAGGGTAATTTCTTGGCTATTGGCCAAATCTGTTATCTCAACAACAACAAAAAAAATTTAATTGAATTTGATTGCAACCTTATTTATTTTGTTAGAGACAACAGAGTGCTAGACTGTGCATCTTGTACAACAAGCATACCATTTATTCAATCAATTTATTGATTGATCAATTTATTGATTAAATCTCTGCTGCATACCATCATTAATGACTGGATTTCACCAACAGCCCTTTTTGCATGCCTATGATCTTGAGGAGTATGTTGTTCTTGAGAGGGTAGGATAGGGAGGATGCCCTGATGGTATGGGTATTCATCTGTGGCTTAGGAACCTCCTGACTTTGTACTTACTTTGTACAAGTCCCTCTGAGCTTCTTCTCCCTCCACTTCTACTGAGAAGCTTTTGCTGTCATATGCTGCAACACTACAGGCAGCAAAGCCATAAAACCATTTCATTGAGATGAGTTGTCCGGTTTTGCTTACCGAGGAAATTGGTGAGGAATCTGAGATACTTTGGACACGGCCTCACCACCACTTCTCCCACCTCTGCTTTGGGCCAGCAGGTAATGTTGTCCCATTGCCTTCTGCAACCTGCCAAAAGAGAAAAGCTGATGGTAGGACAAGCACGAGTGACTGCTAGGTACACAGTGCGTGAAGCCAGAGTAGAGGAACGACAGCATAGCAGATCTGTGGTGTGCAAAGGCACGTGGAGCCCACCACTGAGATGCAGAACCTTTTCATTCTTTTTCATTAACTTACCATCAGTTCCTACACGCCCCAAATGTAGATGTCTTTACAAAATCTTCTCAAATCAAATTGGGCTTTAGAAACTTAAGTTATTTTTTGACCAAAAATGAGAAGCACCAGCTGAAAAGAAGGCATGGAGTACGTAGGAGTGTTTTCTTTAAACACACAGCTTTCAACAACCCCAGTCCCTGAAATTCAGCACTGGAGGTGCCTGTAGTTTTCAGAATTCACAGCAAATCTGTGCAGCACTGGGCAAATGAGGGTTAACAGATAACCCTTTTTTCTTAGGAAAAACAAAACAAAACAAAACAAACAACAACAAAAAAAAAAAAAAAAACCCAAAAAACAGAAACAATTAAATGTCTCTCTTCCCTGCAGTTACATCTCCATGTTGCATTAAAACACCTGATCTGAAAATGCAGATGTGCAAGAGATGCTCCCACTCCTCTGACTTCCCCAAGCTTTTGTCGCTAGCACTGCTTCCAAGTGAGATTAGGTGATTGTGCAGAAAATGTTCTCAGCAGGAAAAGGACACTGACAATATTCAAGGGATTATTAGGCAAATCCTGATACAAATCTCAAGATATTTTTTCTTTAAAAAAGGAAAAGGAAGGAAAAGGCCAAAGGGCTGAGGAGGGACAGTGCCATTCAATGAGTCGTTCTCTCTGGAAGTGAATGGACTTTAGTGGCACAAGAGCCCTTCCAAAGCTGGGAAAGAAGCAATAACCAATGGAGCAAACTTCAGACTAAAACCATAGGATTTTATTAAAATTAAACATTTCCAAATAATCTTTCCAAAGTAACCCCCTAAAAGTCACTTCTTCATAGCACCTCTGCTCTGCAGTTCTTTGTCATGCCCCATCACACTGCAACACTTCCCCTACTGTGGCTAAAGAGCTGCTAAAGAGAGCTAAAGAGGTAAGGTCAAAAGCCTTGCAAGAGAAACCATACTATGAAGAAGAAAGCTTTAAGATAAAACACAAAGGGAACTATGAAAACCACTGTCAAGCTGCATTTCTTTGGTAATTATATCATTCTCTGAAGTACCTCTTTCAAATCTTCTTTCACCCCTTATGCTAAGAAAAAGCCTGGCGATATCATCAGTTGTTTCACATGGAGGCAGCTTGCTATCTCATATCAATGAAGGGAGCGTGCAAGGATGCTTTGAAGCTGAAAAATGAAACCTCAGCTCCTTTTCAGTTATCTCACAAGTTTTTCCTTCAGTCTTTCATGAGTAAATAGTACTTTTCAAGTAAGGACCTGAGATGAGTTTACTGGAACCTGAAAAAAGGAAGAGTTGACAGTACTTTCTTGATGCAAGCTCTGCTGTGTCATTCATTAAAATTCAATTTTCAGATTTCTAATATCAGTTACAAAGCTCAGTTCCCACAGAGTCATATTTATCTGCTAACAAACAGCCAGCTGCTCAGCATGCTGATGGACTTTTCCTGGGCAAACTGTAATGCAAAATCATTTCACTGCAATAGACCAATATCTGAAAAAAAATCTAAGAAATAACTGCTCTGTGTCTCACAAAAGGGGAATCCCTATCTTCCCTTTGGCCTCATTTGGCCTTCACAAATCCAGGAATGGGTTGGTTTTGCCTGACAAAATCATATTTAGTGACTACTACTCAGGGCATCTCAAAAAATTGATTATAAATGTTGTCTTCTCCCTTGCATTGAATGCCTGCAGGAAGGATGAAAACTCATTTAAAAGTATTTCAATCAAAAATAACTGCTGTGCTATTTTGCCTTGCAAAGGATCAGAACTGAGTCTGGCGCAAGCACACGACTCTTTCTAGCGTGGGAGCATTTAGCACATCCCAGGGTAATCAGCTACACCCTTTAAACTCACGCTATTATATATTCATGTGTGCATACATACATGTGTACAGATTCATTGGCTTTTCAACGTTTTGGGCTGTTTAGTCCTCTTCTAAGAGGTTCACATCATGGCATGGACAGGGGCCTCCCCCCACAGCTCTTCTCCCTGCCTCTCTGCCAATTGTCACTACCCAAAGTGGCAGGGGATGCTTGTCCTCAGCTGCCACCACGCACTGGCCAATGTCTGTGGCAATAAAAGACGCTGACGCTTGTCCCTATCAAGTCAGTAGTCACTTAAATAAGCCCTGCAGCTACAGGGAGTGGTGGCCTTTTCTGCCATCTCACTTTCTGTCCCTTTGAAAGGTTAATAAATGGAAAACAGGTCAATCTGTATAAGGTGCAGGTATACGGAGGTTTGCAGAACTGGCAGATCAACATTTCCTTGAGATATATTTATACACGCAGAAAATATGTGGTTAAGGCTTATCTGAGAAGCAGCAGAGAACAACCTCACTTCATGAATTAACATGAATCTACAGAGCTCTGAGATGAGACTGGGTTTGGCTGAGAAAAGAAGCAAAGGGCCGTTGATTGGTGCTGAGTGAAGACCAGATCAATTAAATTAAGTGATCTCCTAATTCAGAATAAACAATAACAAAAAAAAGAGGACACACACACACACAAAAGCTTTTTGCACCATTAGCCCCAAATTCGCCTTTATGAGCAGGCATCAATGCAGGTCTCTTTTGAAGGACATTAGCTCAGAAGAGTTTTGTTCTTTCAATACATGTTCCATGAGCAAAGACGTTCATGAGATGCCTGGGGTATCTCTGCACTCCTTGCACTAGCCTCAGGTCAACATCAGCAAGACAAACGGCAGCTTCATTAAGCCAAGCTGAGCTATCACTACTACCTCCCCAAGCAATAACCTGGTGTGCTTCCAATCAAAACTCATTTTCACTCCAGTTTGACATCAAAAGGCAGTTTCCAACCTCTCTGGAGTTAGGACTGTAAACAGATATTAGGTGACATTTATTCCCCCACTGACAGCTTGTGAGGAAGTTATATCTCAATGTCCTTCTTTGCTGTGCCCAGTTTACTTTCATTACAACTGATTATCATTGCAAGTTATATACTTTGACGCTTGAATTTCATATTCTTTGACCCAGTCTAGCACTAAGTTTTTACCTGAGTGAAGAAAAAGAGGAGCTGTGCAACAATTTTTGCTGAAAGAAATTGAATTCAGTCATATCAGAGAGTAGGAAAAGCCATCTTGAGCCTCGGGTTATTACTAAGCAGGGCAAAATCTGAACATGAAACACATTTCCTCTAACAGTTCAGGGTTATATCCCCCCTTTTTTTTTTTAAATAAACATAGAAATGCTTCTATTTGTGATATCTCAGCTTAGCTTCTTTTCCTTCCTTTCTTTGCTACCCTTGCTCATTCACCACAACCAAGTGTGGTGAATGAGCAAGGGTAGCAAAGATGATTAGGGCAACCAAGATGATTAAGGGAATGGAACATCTCTCGTATGAAGAGAGGCTGAGCGAGCTGGGCCTGTTTTCTCTGGAGAAGAGACGGCTCAGAGGGGACATGATTAATATGTATAAGTTCAGGAAGGGAGAATGCAGGGAGGAAGGGGACAGGCTGTTCTCACTGGTGGCCAGCGACAGGACGAGGGGTAATGGCCACAAGCTGAAACACAAGAAGTTCCGTCTCCAGGTG